TCACAAAATGTAATTCATTTTACGGAAAATATTTTCCGGAAAACGTTTTCATTGAAACAAACGGACCCTTTCAATTCGTAATTATAAAAAATAATTACGTCATTAGTTAATCACTGGTTAGAAAAAATCCCATAATCGAATTCCAACATTAAAATGTACAATTCCTTTTTATAGAAAAACTAAAATATTAAGTACGCTCATACATTATCATTAACTGAATGATATAATGAATGTTTTAAGATTTGAATACATGCAATTTTTATTATTTAGTTTTATGTCATCCAATTTAGTATTTAGAAAACTTAATTCGATAATATTAATTTAATTGAAATTTTATCAAATATAAAATAAACTGCATTACACTATATAAACACATATACATTTCTATTGGCACATCACATATCATTTTTACTCGTATTTGTGATTGTGTAATCCATCCACGTACTGTGTGTCATAATTTACTATTTTTACAGAATTATGAAATAAATAAATATATATATATATAATCAACGAAAACAAAAAAAAAACAAAATTTAATTAAAAAATAAAACAAAGAATGTCGATATATTGAAATGAAATGATGTAAGTATACAAATAGTAAGAGAAAAGTTGAGGAGATTAGAAAGAGAGGACATGAAGGATGCGATGCGATGGGGTGGGTGGGTGGGTGTGATGGAATATTTGTGAGTGAGTGGGGACAATCAGGCTTTAGCTGGCCTTATCGTTGGATACATCTCTCTCTTCTCTTCTCTTTTATTTTTAATTATTATTATTATTAAATTACAATTTATAATTTATGAATTACTCATAATATCCGGTTCTTAAAAGTTTTAATCACAAAATATGTATTTTGAATTGTATTTTTAAATTGTTTGAAGCCTCTGTTTTTTTGGTAAAACAAGTATTTAATGTTTTATTTGATTTTCGTTTTAAGATTAAATTATTCATATTTATAAAAATTAAATAATCTAATTTTTAATCTCAATTATTTTTTAATAAAGTTTTAATATACTTAATTTTCTTAAAACCCTAGAAATGTAATTCTAAAAAATAATAAAATATCTTTTCAAACTCCCTTTTTTGTCTACGAATCAACCATAGTCTCACACCCATCCTGCTATTTGATTTTCACTATCGATTTTCTTGCTCTTCTTTCATCATAATTCGATGAACCATGAATGAACTATGAATTAATAATGACGGATCTATAAATTAAAAATTTTAATTTTTTTTCTTTTTAAGAAAATAAATATATAAATTGTTGTATTTCTCTTAATATATTAAAATAGATTTAATAATTTTCCTAAAGTAATGAGTATATAATTGAACCTCATAAATTATATACAGTGAGAGATTCAAAATTCTTTTTTAGAGTTTGCACATATAGGTTAATAATATAAATTTTTTAAATGAGGTAGACATAAATAAAATTTTAAAGTGGACAACATCAATAAAATATCTCACTAATTGAAGAAAATTCAGATTTCGGAGTATACATAAGAAAATTTAAAGATAAACACAATTAATAAAATATATAACTAATGAAAGAAAATTTAAATTTTAGGGTGTAAATCATATCCACCCTAAGCTGTAAGTGGATCCGCCCCTGATTCTATATACATCTGCCCTTGTGAATAGGTGCCATGAACCACGAATGTGATGGATGAGAGATGTAATGAAGTGGGTTTTGCTGCTCTTGTGATGGTCAGAGGAGACTTCATTATTACGACGGTGAGACAATATTCGATGACGATAAATGATTAAAAAATATGAAATCTATACTTTAGACTAAATAAAAACATGATTAAGCTTTAATGTCACATGCCATGTATTTAACAAAGGTTAACGAATTATCTTTTAAAATGATAATATAATTGAATACCAAATATATATTTTAACTAGAATGTGTAACTTAGTAAATTATTTTTAAAAGCATTTTTTAAAATAACATATTTATATTTTAACCAAGTCTTGAGCATTATCCGATGGATGGGTGTTGGTTCCCCTCTCAAAACTCAAGAGGTCAACTTTAAAACCTCATGCATCACACATTATATTTTAAGTAGTTTCTCACCATTCAAATGATACACATTATCATATCATTAGAGTACCTTAATTTATTAAAAAATGTCATATCATTCATCAGTCAAAAACAAACTTTCGTTACTCATGTAATGGAGATTACCGGTTAAACAATTGTTCTGTAAATTATTTAATTTTAGTAGTAAATCTGAGTCTCTCAAACTTTAATAACCAATAGTGTAATATACCTAATAATAAAGCCGTTGAAATAAATTTGATTATCCGTAACCCGGTAAATGCGTATATTTTGCTTCTTCTGAATGCAGGAGGATTAGTTTCATACAGACAATAACAGCAGTAATGATAAGAGAAGTCAAATTCTACCAACCTTCCCAATAACGAAGAGAGTGTCATAATTCATACTATATAGTATTTAAAGTACTTAAAAATGGCCCCACATGTCACCTTCGCCTTATTTGCAAATCAAAGAAGGATACTTCAACTTTTTTCACGCATCATTATACATTGGTATTGGTTAGTAGCGAACAAACCAAAATATGAAACCTGTACGCTCTCCCTTCATGCACGTTTTCACCATCCAATCAGAATATAAATTAAACCTTCTTCTTTAAGCATGTTCACCACAGTTATCATTGCCCCCTAATTTATTTGTTAGTCCGTTTTGATCTATCATATGCAAGGGTCGGATTGTTGGAGTTATATTAGATTTGAATAAAATAGTTTTAAATTTAGAGGACTGAACTATTTCACCGTACAAATATATTTTACTCGAGTTTATTTATGGAATTTAAAATAATCTTATAACATGTTTTCTTTTTTTGGGAATATGTAAATAATGAAATATGGGTTCCAAATTCATGGAGCAATTAGTGATTGTTTTATACACGTAATTGTGGAAAGCGCTTAATTTAAGCCAACAACTCTCCTCAGGATTTGGGAGGGTAATCATTATCCACCGTCCATCATGTAGACAAACTTTGGATCATCATCAACATCACCAACGTACATTCAAACATACCACATTCATGGATAGACGGAGAGATGGGTAAGGTAATTTATCTTTTGAAAATTTTAAATTTATTATATATATTTAAAACATTTTATATATTTTTTTATTAAAAATTTATTTTTATCATATTAAAATTTTATAAATTTAAATTCACCCTTTTAAAATTTTAAATTTAAAAGGCTGATAAAACCTTACATTCGTCCAGACTACGCCCATCGTATAATTTAAGCGAAAAGGCGATATCATAATGATCCACGGAAATCATGCACATGAAAGCACCAGCACGTGAGACGCACATGGTATAAGTGTTCTGTTTCTTTGGACACTTGCGTTTTATGCAAGAACTATGAGACAAGCATGATCCGACAACAAATCTGGTGGGTTCATCAATTTTGAATTTTTATGCGCTGCTGATCTTATCCATGACGTGGCACCTCTCATAATTTCCCAGATTCCACTTCAATATTTACACCGCATCCCAATTGGACATTGGAGTGCATAATGTTTTAAGACTAAAAATTCAGTTTTAAGTATTTCTTTATGATTATTATACTTATATCAAATAAAAATACGATGAATTATTATTAGTATTTGTGACATATGTCAATACATGATGATTAACATTTTCGAGAAAATTAAATAAATACAGGAGGCCAACAACATTCCAATTTTCATTTTCACCGCATTCATTAACCGGTCGTGGCAATGCTCGTTAATAGTGGTTAAATAAATTATTGATAGTAGGATTATATTTTTTGGGTTCACTATGATTATGTTGAGCTCAATAATGAGATTGGCTAGTAATAATTATAAAGGTTTATTGTTTAACAATAAGATTGAAAGTTACAGCAGTGAAAGTGAAAAGCTTCCATTACACTTGAGTCAATAAATCCATACCATGTAGTATACTGTATATGTATAATATTGACTTTCATATTTTATAAAATCAGCTGCGGTTGTTTTTAAATTTTATTTTATGTAGATTTTCTTTAAATATATTTTAATTACTAATTTAACTATAACATGCTCAAATATTTAATTTAATTATATTACGCTCTTAAGAAAATTTTTAGTAAATTATGATTTTTTACAAAAAAAATTTATTAGATATCTATTAATGAATGAGTTATTTGTTTGATTCAATGAATCGATTTTAGATCACAGCATGTTTCAAATAAAATATTGGGTAAACTACACATTTAGTACCCAACTATCACATTGGTTTTGTTTTGGTCACTCAACTATTTTTTGTTTCAAAATCGCATCAATGTTAAATTTTAGTTTCATTTTGGTCACTCGTAGTTAAAAAAATTAACGGTGATGCTGAAGTGTCACCATAAAGTAATTCCATGCCATTATTTTTTTTAAATCTCACGTCATCAGTTCTATTGATTCTTTTAACGACGGGAGACTAAAATAAAAAAATGTAACGTTAAATGTGATTCAAAAAAATAAAAGTTAAGTGACCAAAACAGAAAAAAAGTAATAGTTGAGTACTAAACATGTAGTTTGCCCTAAAGTATTTTGAATTAGGTTTTCAGCCTAATTATTATACAATAAAAATAATGCAATAATCTATTTTAGTGTTTTTGAATCCTCGGTTGAAGTTGGGTCTGGAGGAATTTTGAAAACATTAAAGTTAGAAACTCGAACAAGCCCAAACATGCAACAAGATCCATGTCTATCTTAAAAAAAAACTCTTGGACGGGCCTCTGGTCGCAGGGGAAAAAAAAGACCCCGCAGACGAAGTACGTTGCTGCATAACCGCCCCTCCCACGCTCTCCCATCTCTCACGTTCAAACGCACTTTGAAAGTTGAAAACCAATTTATTCTCCTATCTTTAATTCTTCCTTCGAATCAATTTCTCAATTTCATCAGTATATATGTATTCTCTCACTACTGATCTGAATCTTTATACAAGCAAGAATAAATCGATGAGTGATTAAACATGGAACATTCAAGGGGTTTGATTTATTGCAATTGTATTTCCATTGTAGCAGCTGCCATGAATGGCTGGCTTGAAGCTTCCAAGCAGTTTAAAGTGGGAGATCATATAAGCTGGCAGCAGCCCAGTACTGACAACCCTGAAGTATATAGGCAGTGTGCCAGCAGTAAAAGGTTTCATGTTGGAGATTCCCTTTGTTTCTATTACCTTTGAGCACCCATGGCCATCAATATAGCTTATGTTGCTGCTTTCTGGTGTTTAGCTATATCACATTCTCTACTGCATGCAGCTTTTGAGTTTGATGGGAATGATTCAGTCCTTGTGGTGGACAAATGGGATTATTATCAGTGCAACTCAAACAATCCCGTCTATTCGTTGAAGGATGGAAACGTTGTTGTGAATCTGGATAGGCCTGGATCCTTGTATTTCATCAGTGGAATCCTCCATCACTGCAAGAACGGTGAGAGATTGATGATAAAGGTGATGGGTTTGCATCAAAGACCCAAACCTCCACCTGCCATTGCGAATCCGCATGAGGCTGGCCTTGCACCGGCTTCGCATCCTAGTTCTGGACTAGTTGTTACGGTCTCACTTACATCTCTCTTTCTAGCTCTTATTGTCACTGTTTTAGCTTTGGTATGATAATGTGTTCTTAGTTTTCTTTTTTTTACTAGGTTTTCTCCCTCCCTCTCTCTTCATTCAGTGAAACATTATAATGATTGTTACATTCGTGTTTGAACTCATCATTTACCAAAGTCCTTCGTTGGAACCAATATTTGGTAATCTTCCATATGTCAGGATTGACACTGCAAACTGCATGAGTTTATTATAAGCAATGACGAGCCGCAACCTCATTCAAGCAGTTTTCATTTAAAATATCACGGTGATGCTAACTACGGAAATCACGACGGTTTTAATCCATTAAATATCCGAGGCTTAAATTAAAAATAAATTATGTCTTACTTAAAAGTGGTGATTAAATATTTTTCAATCAATTCAACTATATTATCTGTAACAACCATTATAAACTTCGTCAAGTGACACTCGCTACATTTATATAATTTTAAAAATTGTTTTCTTAAAAATAAAACATTATTTTAAAAAATATTAGAAAAACAAAAAACAAAATTTCGTCATCCCTTCCAAATCCTCCTTCATCTGCGTGTTCCCTGCCTTTGCCCAAACCGCCAGATGTTCAAAGGTCAACAGATGGTCAAACAATCGATTATGACGGCAGGTGAAACGATCGAATTTTGGGAATTTTTAGGGATTTTAAGAATTTAGAGATTTAAGTTTAAGAATTTAGAAGAGTGGGACAATGAACGGTCATTGAGTGATCAGAGAAAATTGAGGTGATTGTTTGTCTTCAATTAATGATTATCAAAGCAGCGGCTACAGCGATCGATGTGGGTATAGAAATTAGATTTAGGGTTTTCAAATGAAGGTTTTTTTTTATGATTTTTAAAATTTTTGGATCTTATTAAAAATATAATTTTTATTTTTTTTATATATTTTAAATAGGCTTAAACTAAAAATGGACTTAAATTATACAATTTTTTGCTTTAGGTACCTAATATATTTTTTGGTCAAACTAGGTACTTAAACTGTTATATGTAATCACTTTAAGCACCTCAACTATTTTTTGGTCACAATAATCCCTAAACTATACCCTTTTTGCTTTAAGACCCTAAAATACTTTTTTGGTCAAAACAATTGCCTATTTTTGTATGATATGTCAACATCTTATTGGTCAAAAATAATTTTCTAACTAAAAAATATTAGGACTTAAAATAATTAAATATAATAGTTCAAGTACCTAGTTTGACCAAAAAATAGTTGAAGTACCTAAAGCAAAAAAGGAGCATATTTTAGATACTTATTTTTACTTTAAACCTTTTAAATAAAATTTTCAAATACTTGAACACGACATGTGCCTCTTATTTGATGTCCATTACAAACCAAACACTTAAAGTAGTAACCTTTGTAACACTAAACATTTGAATTGACTTGAAAAAGAGTTTAAGCACTATTTTGAGAAAACGATGCAGTTTGAGAACTTATTTTTACTGAAAAAAGTTTAGACACCATTTTGAGAAATTGTTTTTATATTAAGCCAAAATTTAATAATTGTATTGTAAGTTTTAAAATTTTGTGTACCAAAATGCAAGTAATATAAAAGTTTTGGTGTCAAAATGCAATATATACAAAAGTTTGATGGCTATTTATATAGTTTATCCTTTAATTTAAATTGATTTAATTGTGATAATTCAAGGGAACCTGCCCCACGCTATTGCGTGTAATGAACATATTAATTTAAGTCAGCCCGATCAACGGTTGAGATTCATTAAAAATAAGGATTGCGCTGAAAAACATACACTGTCACTCGCATATTAAAACCCACCTGCCTGAGATAGAAGGTTTAAATTCATATTTTCCTCCTTAACTAAACTCGTTTTAGCGAGTTGTATCTTAAAGTATTTTTCGTACCGTTTTACCTCCTCAACTAAAAATTATTACTGTTTGCGTCAATTCCTTAGCTCTGTTAGAAAATATAAGAGTAAATTATATATTTAATCACTCAACTATTTTTATGGTTATGTTTTGGTGACCTAATTATTTTATTTTTCGTAATTATCACTACACTTAAGTTTTAATTGCAATGTGTTTAAATTGAATTCAATTACAATTTTTTGAAATTAAAAATAAATAAAATTTCATTAAATAAATAAATGTTACCATTAAAAGGAAACAATGAATCTAAAAATTGAGATTAAAAAGCAACCACATTCGTATAATTTTGTGATCGTAGAAGCACACACAAATCCTACATTTTATTTTTTTCTATATTTGAATCCTCTCAAGAACTCTCTCCTTCCTTCACACCTTTTTCATCGCTCTATCACCATATCTCCTTTCTCCACCATAAAAATCCCACATTTCTCCAATATTTCAGTTAATCTATTAAAACGATCGAATTGAATTTTTTTCCAGTTAATCGATCGGTTAATTTTACGTTCGGTCGGTTAAAGGATAATGATTTTTTCAAAGTTCAGTTATCGGTTAATTTAGTTCAAAATTGGTTAATTAATCGAATTAACCAAAAATTTTAAAATTTTAATAGATTATTTATTAATAGTTTTATGAGTGTTTAAATTTTAATTTTAACGAAATTAATCGACTGAATTAATCAACCAAAAATAGTAAATATATATTATATATTATTTAAAATTTCAGTTAATTCGGTTAACCGACCGATTAACCGAACATGGTTTGATTCAATTAATTATTTTCGAAAAAATTTCGGTTTAGCTAACGGTTAAAACGAAAAAAAATTGGTTAATGAAAATTTGAAAGTTCGATATATTCAATTAAATTAGGTGACTAAAATGGAAAGAGCTTAAATTTAGTAATTATTTTGAAAGAAAAAATAATTAAGTGATGAAAATAGAACTGTGAGAATTGTTGAATGACTAAATATCCTCATGCTGTTTTTAACGGTATTAACGATTTGCGTCAAACGGGGTAACAATTTTTAATTGAGGGGCAAATCGGTATGAAAAATACTTTAAGATGCAACTCAGTAAAAAATATATAATTCAGGGGGAAAATATGCATTTAAGCCATGATAAAATATTATCACCATCTGTGAAGTGCCCCAAGCTGACATTTTTGCTCTCTCTAGTCTTTGGAATCTTCTTCCTTATCCTAAAAACACTTTTAGTACCCTGTCATATCAGAATATCAACCTCCGTTTCCAGGTAAATTCCCCCATTTCTCATCCCTTAGGGGGCATTTGGATGGAGGTATTTAGGATTCCCGGTAGGAATATTTTCCTTGATCAAAAAAAAAATAAAATAAATAGAATTTCAGGTTTAAGTCACTTAAAAAAAACTGGGAAACGAGTAAAATGGTTAATAGAGTTGTTTTTAAGGGTGAAACAGGTTGAGGTTTAAAAGCAAAAAAAGAAATGTGTGGTTACCTACTTGTTTTACAGTAACTTGCTGAACTGTATTGACATAGTTGCTCTTCTATCATCATTTTGTTATGGTGCCATTTTTATTGTGTTCAATTATTTTTATTGTGATGACAAACAATTGTTCTTGTTATATATTATTTTAATATTAAAATGTTTGTTCATAATAACAGTTATAGCTCGTTTACCAATGCGAAAGAAGAAGCATATCGCCACAATTCTTATTTTACAACTGCAAATGATGGGAGATTGTGTCATATGCTTATGGTTATTTCAGTTATTCTTAGAAAAATATAAAAATCGACCTAAAATAACTTATGCACATGAAAGACTTCATAGACATAATATTAGATCACTTAATTTACATAAAATTGTATTGAAAGTGATCGACAAAGTGTGAATTGTCGAATGGATAGGAGAGCATTTATCAAATTGTTTCACCTATAACAAAGTCAAGGTGGGTTAAAAGAGAGTCAATATATGTCTATAGAAGAAATGGTTATTACTTTCCTTCATATTATATCCCACCATATTAAGATTAGAGTTTTAAAACGTCAAACAGTAAGATCTGGTGAAACAATTAGTAGAGTTCTCCATACAGTGTTAGCTTCAGTCTTGAAAATTCATCCGATCCTTTTTAGAAAACCAGAACCGATACAAGATAATTCAACAGACGATATATGGAAATGGTTAAAGGTATTGTATCATAATTCTGAACTTTCTTTTAAGTTAATTAGTAATGCTTAATACATAAATGGATAGTAATAATGCAATTTAACTTTATTTGATGAATATAGGGATGTTTGGGTGCTCTAGATGGAACGTATATTAAGGTCAATGTAGTTGCAATCGATAAACCTAGATACAGAACAAGAAAAAATGAAATTGCGACAAATGTACTTGGTGTTTGCACACCAAACATGCAATTCATTTATGTTTTACATGGGTGGGAAGGTTCTGCAGCTGATGGTAGAATACTCAGAGATGCCATTAGTAGAAGAAATGGTTTAAATGTTCCACAAGGTAAATTATTAGGTCATTAATATATATATATAAAAGAATGTAAAATTCTTCCAAGTTTTGTATATAAATTTACTTTTTAAATTAAAATAATATAGGGTGTTACTACTTATGTGATGCTGGATACACAAATGGAGAGGGATTTCTTGCACTATATAGAGATCAAAGATACCACTTGAATGATTGTAGAGAAGGACACCAACCTACCACCCCTCAAGAATATTTCCCTCAAGAATATTTCAACATGAAACATTCTCAAGCTAGGAATTGCATTGAGAGATGCTTCGGCATATTGAAAGCGAGATGGGCAATTTTAAGGGAAAAATCATTTTATCCAGTGAAAACACAATGTAGACTCATTTCAGCTTGTTGTCTTCTCCATAATTTCATAAGATCTGAGATGCCAATCGATTCTATTGAATCTGACTATACTGAGGATAGTAGTCATGTTGAAGAGATTAATGAAGTAGAAATGATCATACATTGTGAACCAAGCTCAGTGAGAGAATTGCAAAATTCTCCAGTGGTGTTGCTGTCATTCAGGTAAGTAAGCCTTGGCCTTGCATGATTCATTGTTGATGATTTATTTAAATATATGTGGTAAACTATCTTCTTTGTTATTATGTTTAATTAATTATTTGTGTTCCTAGGTTGGAGCACAAACAGAAACCGAACTAAAAGAAAAGAAATTAAGAGTGGAAGATGCTCTCAATGCAGCAAAGGTATTTTGCTTGAAATTTCTGATGGAAGTTGCTGAAGATGTCCTACTTCAAACTTCTATTCCCTAACACCTGTTCCCAGGCTTAAACTTAATTTTGGAATATTAATTATTTTCAGGCAGCTGTTGAAGAAGGCATTGTAGTTGGGGGAGGTTGCACCTTATTGAGACTTGCAGCAAAAGTTGATGCTGTAAAAGAGACTCTCGAGAATGATGAACAGAAGGTCATGCTTGTCTTACAATTTTAATTTGTCCTGAACCGTGGATTTAATATATGAAATGGAGCCTTTTGACTGACCTAGTAATTGTTGGCAGGTTGGAGCAGATATTGTTAAAAGAGCATTGAGCTATCCAATGAAGTTGATTGCCAAGAATGCTGGGGTCAACGGGAGTGTTGTCATGGAAAAGGTATCGTGATGGATCATGTCTGCTCATATTTAGCTTAATACAGTGGTTGTTAGCTCTCATTTTGTTTATCCATTTGTTATCGTCAGGTGTTGTCAAATGACAACCCTAACTATGGTTATAATGCTGCAACTGGAAATTATGAGGATCTGATGGCAGCTGGTATTATTGATCCTAAAAAAGTGAGTTTCTCTATCGCTTGAGAATTTTCTTCCATTCTTCTCCTTTCAAGGAGGAGGCTGGTATGTTGACACGAGTGCCGAGAGCTCCCTGGTTCATACAGAGGCTATGGAAATGAAATATGGTTTTGTCAAGTCGAACATAACGTTTCACGATTATCAAGTAATTTTATGGTTTTCTGAAAACATAGGTGGTAAGGTGTTGCTTGGAGCATGCAGCTTCTGTTGCAAGGACATTCCTCACTTCGGATGCAGTGGTCGTCGAAATCAAGAAGCCTGAACCTTTGCCTACTGGAAACCCTATGGATAATTCAGGTTCTTACAGATGAATTTGATCGTTTTGGTTTTGTCAAATGGTTGGTTAACCTTTTTTTCTTTTTGGGTAACAGCTTATGGGTACTAAACTATTATGCGCATCGATCCTTGTCTGAACTTTGCAAGTTGCTGCAAATTCAAGTATGATCAACGAAATTCTGTATTTGAATTGATAATGCATTTAGCAGTAGGTCTGCTGAAGCAAGATTCCCCGTTGTGGACATTGTTGAAACTAAGATAATTCAAGGGAAGAAAATGTCAATATCCAATGTGAGAGCAAATTATGTGTTCTAAAACTATTTCCCCAACTTAGGCCCACATCATTATTTGATGGTTTCCAATATTAGCTCAACATGATTTTATGATAAGATGGACTCCGAGTTTTGAATGTTTAGCCAGGAATTTCGACAAATGTGACGAGTGAAACATCAAGACTAATAAAAAAGAAATTAGGATCCTGACAATCCTATCTTCTCTTTTAATATAGTGGGCAGTGATTTCGTGTGGGATTCTTCCTATTTTCTTAATCATGTCATCCCCAAATCATCGTTTTCTTTATTATCCAGCCTCTTAAATCATACCCCAGATAGTAACCGCTAATATTATTTTTTAAATTTAATATTTAAAATTATCAGTTTTAGTTCATTTTAGTAAACTACGCATCTTAGTATTAAGTTCAGCATTTAATATTAATATTTGAGAAAAATTAAAAGTTTAAATACTAAAACGTATTAAAGTTGAAAGTTTAAGTATTAGATGTGTTAAATTTTTAATATGAGTATAAAATAAAACAGAAATTAAACACTATATATAATTTTAAAAAAAATAAAAATTTATTTAATAAAATATATCAAAATTGATAACTTAAGTATTAAATTCTATTTCTTTTGCCCATACTTTCTTGTGTGTGAAGCTCCCCTTAACGTCATTTTCTTGATGTACATTTCGCCAATCATTTTTACACAGGTGCATGACATCGTATGTCACTCCAGGAAACAACAATTTTGCTTTGTAGCACCAACCAATCAAATTCATGGAATTCGAGTTTCTCTATCTTCTTGGTTCTTGTACTCCAATTGGATGTTTTCCTAACAGAGGCTTCAATCTGTCTGTAAAACAACTCCACTGAGGTGACTCCACCTTCAAGTTTAAGATAAACCAACTTTCACAAATTATTGTTTTTAAATATTTATTTTATTTATGAAACACTTACTCTACTCAAAGTCTCTAAATATATTGTGATTAAAACTTTGATTTTGGTTTGGTTATAATATTATTTGTTATTTATATTTGGCTTAAGGGGTAGTTTTTGCCCTTGTAATAGACTTAGTTTATCAATTTTGTCCTTATTATATTTTCGCATCAATTTAGCACTCGAAGTTTCTCAGTTGCATCATTCTATGCCCTATCCCTAACTTACAACCCTAAATAAAGGTTATTTAGTACACGACTTAATAGTCATTTTTTTAGATTTATTGATAGGTTGAGTGGTTAAGAATGTTTATATTGTCTCGTCTTGTATAGATTCAAACGTTGATTTTGTCTAAATATAATACCTCTTTACTTAATCAAAAAATAATGATTTTTTTATAAAACTGTTATATTGTTTAAATTAAATAAATTAAAATGAAATAATAAATATTATTTATTTTGAATAAGTGTTGTTTTTATTTATTTATTTTTCTATTACTAAGTTTAGATGTATATAATATTTTGATAATTAATTTTAAATTTGTGTGATGAGATTGTTTCTTGTCTGATTGTTAGCTTTTTGAATTGAACATGTAAGTTTAGATGTAATTTTAAATTTGAATTGAACAATAATGATGAAGCACACTTTGAAGGGTTCAAAATGATATCAGTATTGTGGTTTTCTGGTAGTGGTTTCAACTTCCAATTCAGAATGATGGCCCAGTGCCCACACTATTATTATACCACACGCTGCCCTCTATTTTGTATCGTCAAAATGTCATATATCTTCTTTCTTTCTATTTTTCAACAATTTTTAATATAATAATAATAATAATAATAATAATAATAAATTCTGATAACAAAAGGTACCTATAAACAATTATGTAAATGTAGCTTCCATTCAATCTCCAACAAGTCCATTTCCAAGCAATATTGTCAGTGAAATAATGCAACAACAAAAAAAACTACTAAAGAAGCATTTTTTTAAAAGTACTTTTTGAAATTTGAATATTTAAAATTGTTGTTAAAAATTAACTTTAAATACATAAATGTTGATTTTATATATTTTTTTCGTATATAAAAGTATAGAGTGGATAATAAAATTTTAATATGCTCCTAGATTTTCTATTTTGTTTGGTATAACCTCATTATCTGATCTATTGATCGACTAATTTGGGTCTGGTATTACATAGGCAAGGACGACCCTCCAACCCAGTTTGCTTCATTCGCAATCGCTAGGATTCGAACTCTTGATCTTACTTAAGGGATTTAGTACCTCATCCCACTAAACCAACCGGTTGATCCTAGATTTTTTTATCTTACAAAACTACATAATTGACATTCGGGTATATTAATTTTGACCGTCTATGTCTTAAATTAATTGTTATTGAAATAGTCAAGTAGCACAAATATTAATTAAATTTTTTCTTTTAAGTTGAAATATCAATACGATATAAAAACAATTCAAATTTTAACTTAAATAAAATAATTAAATTTAAATGCAAAATTTGTATAATAAACCCACCTAAAATGACGACCCCAACCGGATAAGTTATACGGTAATTGAGCTGTCCCGACCAATGAGACATCTAACTGCCACAACATTTAAGATTTTTGAAATTAAATAGAAAATTGTCTGCAAATTCCCATTTTTTTCCATGCATCAGATAATCAACTCTTTTTTTCCCCTTTCGTTTTCGTCTTCTGATCATGACGGCTTACAAAATTTGACGAGTATTTATGTTGTCGTATTTGTTTTAATTTTCCTGAATTATTATAGTTTTTAAAACATTAAAATTATGTATATGAAAGCAAAATCAGAACTTGTGGTCTGCATATCTTGGTTGGGTCCATAGGCACACAGCGAGTGGCAACCAGCACAGGAGACCCACCCCTAGGGATGGCACCAGTCGGATAACCGGATCTAATTAGATTTAGATCTAGACTCATTTTCACATCTTGGATCTAGACCCTCCATAGATCCACGAGTCTAGAAAATTAGAACTCAAATCTAGATTTGGATCTCACGAATTTGGGTCCAAAAATAGTCGGTTAAAAAACGATCATTTGACATTTTTTAACGTAATAAAACTGTCATTGACTAATTTCACATCACAATTTCAATAGAGTAAAGATTAATTTCAATATAAATAGTAGCAGAATAAAAAATGATAAACTAATGTCTCAAACAACTCCGACACATTTACACAAAATGTCTTTTGAATAACACAAACATTAAAAATTATAGATCATGAAACATTCTGTTATCTCAAGTCAAGTATCGCACTTCTACCTCTTTAGAGTGTTAGTCTTCATCAATACTTAAATCATCAACATCCTAAAACAATCAACCAAAGAGAATTTTGATTAATGAAAATAATATTTGCAAATAATATATATATATATATAAATTTAAAACTAAAGGTGAATTTTCTATAAATGGGTTCAGATATGGTATTTTAGTATCAGATCTAGATCTAGATCCGTACTTTAATCAGAGGATCCAGATCCGGTCCGAATCCGTCGAGTCCAAAATTTTAAGATTTAGACCTTATAAAATGAATTTGGATTTATAGATTCGAATAGGGTCCAGAATCCATTGTCATCCCTATCCACCCCTAACCTATCCCCTTTTTAATCTAGAGTGGTCCATCATCGGTTGAGCCGAAGATGACTCCTTTGTTCAAATTCCTTCCCATTGGTGAACCATAAATTAATTTTATTTTTTTCTAATGTAAATATAAAAACAAAATAACATTTCTATTACATAAATAAAATATATACATATTTCTCACACCTTCACTCGTCCGTTTCAGCACATGGAGGGTGACCTTCCCTTATTCAACACTGCAATAAAAGCTAGCCCATATTTTTGATGTCGTATATACAAGGGAATTGATCGGTTCATATTATTCCGTTTTATTATACGTGTTTTAAAAGAATATTGAGTTATACAAAATAATAAGTCAAACGTCAAAATGATTTGTGGATTTTAATTTAATATATAATATGATTAATTTTTTTAATTTAAAATAATTATATACATAATTTTTTTTATTTGGATTCTGTTTCCAAAGGCAACTAACGCAATATACAACATGACAGCATTTTATGTTTATTACTCACACAAATAATTAAATTTATCTAAAGTGGAAGTGATTTAAATTTGTTTTTTTTTTGTATTTTTAAAAATTAAATTAAATTTTATTTGTTTGAGAATTATCTCTTACAATATCATACAATTACTTTTAGAAAATCTTAATCACTCTCTTTTTTCTTATCGTAATGGGTTTTTAATTGTGTTATCTTAATTATTGGTAATCATATTAATTTTAAACTGATTATTAATTATTAAAAAGTTTTCTATTTTTTCTTTTTTTTCCTCTTATAATTCAAATTATATTTCTTATTAGACGAATTTTACTTTTTTTTTTGTATGAAAATTATAGATAATTGTTTGCTCTTATAGTATGTTCCTTGTTTGTTATTGTAGGACATACCTTTTCTTCTAAGGAATGGATTTTACACATCTTTCCCTAGCGGATGTAAAGCATCTCTGTCCCACCTTAGAATTTAAATTTTTTATAATAATTATTTATTTTATTATTAGTATCCATTCTTAATTTTTTTTACTCACTCCGTACAAAAAAATTAAATAATTAATATATGCATATTCACCTTTAAAAATAATTTTTTGATATGTCACTGTCTTTCGATGGCATTTATTTTAATTGTTATGTTGATCAATCCTTTCTTTAGATTTTTGGATTGAACATTTGTAATTACTGAAGGTAGGTCGCGATTAAATTGTGATAAAATTAATTTATCAACCTATTAAAATTGTTATATGTATTTTTTATGTTAGTGTTGATGGTATTTATCATTCATTATTGGTAATAATTTGTCAATGGAATAAAGTATCGGATGACTTTTAGTGAATAAAAAATGGTTGATGCTCTTGATTTCGACAATGAAGGAGAAGCTTATTTATATGCACATGGTGAGTTGATAGACTGAAGTACTATATATAGTTCGTTATTAATCAGTAGCATTGGACTGAGATATATATATATATATA